CCATGTGTTCTTCCTGGCGGCAAGTACATCCTGACAGGTGAATCTCGTTGGCGACCCCTTTCCTCCGAGGATGGGTCCACATGAAAAGATATGAATTCGGACGCGCTTGAAACGCCCCCCAAACGGATGCCTTCCAGAATGTGTAGTGGTTTGTTTGGAAGTGCAAGTTGCTTTAAGTTGCCACCACCCCTTTGTTTGGAGGAGAAGGCGACGCTCCAAGAGAAGCCCACCATTCAAGACTCTTGGCGCCAAACTGACCACCATTGGGATTCCAACACCCTCCACGGCCACCAGCTCCACCGAACAATCCAACCTGCCCAATGGTCACGGAAGGCCGGCATCGCCGGTCTTCCTACCTTTGACATTTTTCCCTGGCAACTCGCATATCACGGTACGGCCGAATATACCGCCCGCACTTTGAGTCACGGGAAGTACTGCGGTTTCATCGCTACCCGGAGCGTGGCCGAATCGGTCTTTGTCACGCATCTCCTCCAAGAGATCCGGGAAAAGCGCCTCGACCTCCTTCCGCTGGGGCTGGTGAGTGTGATTGGAGTTGTTGGATGAGGAGGTTGATCAAAGGGGCGTGGAAGGCACGTGCCTGCGTTGTTTTGGTGGGGATGTCATTGCCTTGTGAGGTGTGGAGGGTCTCAGCTATGGCGTCACAGCCCTACGGGCACTCAAATCCGCCACAGATGAGCTTGCCCGCGCAAAACAGAAGCTCCACAACTTGGGCGTTCCATCCACCCCTACGAAACGCACCAGTCACTCCTCCAACGCCGCAGATGCGTCACATCCACCCACAACAACCACCCCACCGCCAGCACGCAAACCACCTGTCCTGGCAGACGTCGCGCAGCCTCCGCACCCTTCACTCAAAGATGACGTCCCTGAAACCTGGACCACCACTGACATCCAGCAATGGGTCACTACTTTTGACCCCGCAGTCCAGGAGTTGGCCAATGAAATTCTACGCCTTCTCCAAACCAGCAAGGTCACCACACAACAACTGAAGGAAGCTGCCACTCGCTATGGCCTTCCTCTGAGCCGTGTCAACCGCCTGCCCATCCGCAGTCTCCAACACCTCGTCAGCGTCGGTGCAGCCATTGGCTGCTTACTATGCTTTCTCAGCCAGCAGCAGCCCAGCCATACCACCATGCAACATCTTTTCCACCTTCACCGCGCCTTATGAATTTTGATTCAACTACACCCAATACATTGAACGAGCAGAGGCCATCTTCACGACAGGCCTCATCCACCTCACCCTCCTCTTCTCAAATCCGTCAACCACACACCGATCCCAACAGTGGCGCAACCGCTTCTGCCAGCTTCACATTCTTCCACACACCTACCACTACCACAACTTTCTCTCCCACAACTCACTCTACATCAAGCTCTACTTCAACCCCACCCCACCACATCGCTGTTACCACCAACATGGCCACTTTTACATCGGCTCCACGGCCATTGGCATTCCCCACAGAGAACACAATCGCAAAGCCAAACTCAAGCAACTCCAAAACAACATCCCCGTATCAGCAGAACTCTCCCTACAATATTGGCATTCTCACAACAACATCCACCACTACACCACCATTCAGCTTACATCCCATGACACCTATGATCAGGCCTGGATCCAAGAACATCACCACATTGCCAACTGGGTGCCCACACTCAACTGGCCCTTCATCTCATACCATCTCAAGCTCAAAGTGCAAGGGTGGCAATTCACCGAGCATCGAGCCCATTTTTACTCCCGACTGGCCACTCACAAACGCCTCTTTCGACGACTCCGCCTCCGCCAACAGACACTCAGAGAACCACACCTTTACACTTCCACAAAACACCATGCTCTCACGCTACTCCGCGACCTTAAATTACCAAACACATGGCAGCCTCCTTTGAAGCAGCCAAACAACTGCGCAGTGGCCGTCACACAGACCTAGAAGTCTACGCCATCAGGCGCATGGCCGCCAATCTGGAAGAACCAGGCCGCAGCAGGGCACTCCACATCATCAACAAAGCCCTCCTTCTCCGCAATCTTACACCACCCAAGCCAAACATTCCTCTCACTGTGCCTTTCCTGGCGCACCAAGACTTCACAAAGCACTGCCAACAGTGGCTCCATACCACCATCCACCAGCACAACCATTTGGCCATTCCTCTCCACCTCCCGTCTCACCGCCTACGTGAAGCAGCCCACAAGACCCTTCGATCCCAACTCCACAACCACCGCACATGGGAGGAAACTCTGCAATCGCCACCAGATCCAGCAGATCTACCGTGCGCCTGCACCCACCTCCGCAGTCTCCTCCAAGATCCAGACACGCCGACCACCAACGACCACTACATTCTCACACTCGACCAACTCCATCTCCCACCACACCTCAACATCTTTCTCAACGCCAACATGAACAGCACCTACTATCCCAGCAAGGCTTATGATGTAAAATAGCTAGATAAGACAAGGGGGTCTATAGCTTAAAAATATAAATTAAAAAAAGTCCAAACTCACTTCAAAAGTCCAACCAAAACTCACCTCTCACCAGGCAAGTCCAAGCAAAACTCAAAAGTTCAAGGCAAAGTCCAAGCAAAACTCACAGGTTCAAAGGAAAGCTCAAGCGAAACTCAAGGAGGTAGGGAAACCAGGGAAGCGCCCGCTCAGCGAGTTTTGGGCGAGCTTTGCGCGAGCTTTTGACGAGCTTTTGACGAGCTTTGGTAGAAGAAAACTAAAACTAGACAAAAGCTCAAATCGAAGCTCAAAAACTGAATGCGCACGAGCTTTTCACGAGCTTTCTGCGAGCTTAGCTCGAAATAAACTAGCACCGAACTCACCACGACGCTCACGCCACGGGAAACGACTTTTGCGCGAGCTTTAATTGGACTTTCCCTGAGTTTTGCTTGAACTTTTTAATGATCAGTTGAATTTGCTTTGGACTTTCCTGTTGACTCTTGGGCTTCCATTGGACATCAGCACAGCACAAGCGAGTTTTGAGCGAGTTTGAAAACGAGTTTTGGGCGAGCTTTAAGCGAGCTTAAGAGGCCCCTGTCTTATCTGCTATTTTACGTCATAAAGCAAGGCGCGCTACTTCCTTACATTCCAAACGGCCTATACAAAATGGCTTAAGCTCCAGGGACTTCCACCATCCCTCACGCAACATTTGCAACCTTTCCTCGAGCACCAACGGCGCCTTCACAACACCCATTTAAAACAACACCCCAGATTCACTGCCCGTTTACTTCGACAGCTTCAAGAATATCTCGGCCCACACACCGTAACTTCACCATGCTGATCACGAACTACAACAGCTCCGTGTTTTCTGCCCTCGCCAATACTTTACCGGAGCCCTCAACACATGGCAATCTCCCGAACTTTTTGCACCACTTCCATACCTGACAGCCACCAACATCCACGACCACCTCAAAGCCACTGTACCCTCCACCCTACGCACCCGATACAAATGGGGCTTCCGCAAGGACTTCAACATTCCATATGGAGTGGTCCATCTCAAAGAGAAGAAGCACTGGCAGAAAGGCCGCACCATCATCTCCTATTTCCACTCACTCAGCGGCAACCTCCTACGCATCACTAGCCGTGCCTTGGACATCATTCTCCAACACCTCTATCCACAACATCCAGGCCAACTTTCCATCCCGCAACTCTGGCGCCGTTTCCACTGCCACCTCACCCAAACCCCAGCAGACATCTCCCTATATGCCACCAATGATGATCTGGTCGGCTTCTTCAACTCGGTCCCCCAGCACCGCCTCATCGACGCAGTCCACTCCATGATTCAGCACTGGCAAGCACAACAATCCACACACACCCTCACCATAGATGTCCAAGCAACCGGCCACCCATTCCACCATTCCCACATCGGCCGGCATCACCAAAAACACCCCACACAGCGCACCATCCAGACACCCGACATCACCACCATCGTCGCCTATGCACTCGACACTTGCATTTTCCGGGCGCGCAACAACACTTACAAGCAAATCCGAGGGGCTGGGATTGGATCCCAACTCTCTCCTGCCCTTTGCAACGTAGCCATCGCTCTTATCGAACACTCCTGGCACCAGATCCACAACAACCTCCTCCAGCACACCGACATACACTTTGCATACTACCGATATGTTGACAACCGATTCATCGTCCACAACGAACATTTCCTCCAACACCCAGCCATTCAAACCCTTATCCATCACAACTTTTTTGGTGACCCAGTGGAACTTGAACCAGTGGACGACTTTCACCTTCTGGGTTTCAACATTGACCTACAACAACGTACCATCACCTACATTCAACCTCTACAACCCTGGAAAATCAGGGACGCAACTAGCGCCGGGAGCCAGCGCTTGGCTCTGTCTGGGCTCCACTCAAGACTTCACACAATCCACAAATACACCTTTCCACCTTCGAGCGCTGATGCTGCTGCCACTGAGCTTGTGAAACTCTACGTCCAAAAAGGACACGACTCAACAGCTTGCAGCCGGTTTTTGAAAAGAAAAAGCGCCGATGACGGCGATCTGTGTGTGTCACCCCCTGTACCAAAGGGTTCAATGCCACGGTTTTCTATTACAACCACAGGCAGGGGGCCACAGCTCCTTTCATCAGTCTGTGGCCAACGAAGCTACTGATGATTGGAGAGGATATGAACCTGGGACGCCCGGTTCACGTACCTGCTTTCCTTTTTCAACTGTTGACAAGCTGTCCACTCTCGCTTTTTTGGTTTCATGGTCCTTCACGATACTTCCCCCAAACCTACTCTTCCCCAGCAGCTGCGCCGCCGGTTTGATCGTCTTGCCGCCATTTTGAACAATGTTGAACAATACTTTTCAGCGGACTTTGCCACCTTGCCGTTCCCTCGCCTTCCTTCTCAACGTGGGAACTGAGTGTAACTGAGAACCAATGTCAGAGTGTGTGGGGACTTGGTCTCCACAGAGTGACAAGAAAAGACACCGTATAAAAACAGACAGACTGCTGATGACGACGCTGAAAGGAGGCCAAAGATATTGTTTGGAGCCGACGCTTCAAGGTGCAATAGATTTTTTGCGAGTTTGATGAAGCTTAAAGAGTTGGAACTTGGAACTTGCTGCTTTGCTTGAATCATGAAGTCTTGTTCGACCATTCTATTTCCACATGCTCAATTCCGCCTCTCTTGTATCCTGTGCTGGGCATGTGGCTCCAGGTGAAAAGGAGGTTGGTAGAATTTCAGAGCGACAACATGTGATCCCTTACGCAAATGGTCACGGGCGTTGCTCCGTGGCTGAACATCGGCAATCTCCAGATTCGACGTGTCATGCACAACTCCGCAACACCCAGCAAACTTTTGCCCTTAGAGTGCTGAGAGTGCTATGGCTTAGCAGCTCAAACATATATCAATCTGTGTCAATTCAATTCGCCATCAGTGAATACAGTTAAATTCCAAAGTCCACAGCAAAGAGGCAAAAACAAAATCCGTAGTTTCCGCTGAGCACGGGCGGAAGCGAAATCACGTGTGGAGCTAAGGGGGAAAAGTGAAAGGGACCCAAATTTGTAGTACTTGGGCCAAGTGGGATTTCAAGGCCATCGCTATTGGGTTGGAGGCCATCGCTATTAGGTTGGAGGCCATCGCCACTTGTAGCAAGAAGCTAGTAGTACCAAGAAGCTACAATAGGATGTTTGGAAATGCGTCCACGGTCTTGAACTGCTGTTTTTGGCCGCCTTGCTCAATTCTTGTTCATCCTACACAAGCGTCACAAGCGGCGGTTTTAGGTTTATATATATAGAGATAATTTTTGGTGTCTAACTTTTGGACATCTTGAGTTTCAAGTCATAGCCCTGCCAGTAGTGGATTGATCAGATCACTGTGCAGAGTTTGCCAGCGACGTTTTGCTCATTGATGCTCATTGATGCGATGTTTGTTGCTAGAAGCAAGTGTGTTAGCTTAAGTTTCCCTCAAAATCTAGAAACCACATCATCAGTGTGAGCGTGAGCCATCCTGCGTCCAGATGTAGTAGCTTACTTGTAGGTATTAGCGACTCCCTAGCTTCTACTAGCTACCTCACCTCTCTACGGCCTACCCCCTAATAGCTTCTTGTTACTAGTAGCATTGCCCTTTGTTGCTAGTAGCTTCTTGCTCCTAGTAGTAAGGCCAGGAGCCCCTAGTAGCGTACTTGCTCCTTTAAAAACCCTCAGTTTGTCTGTTCTTGTTTTTTTGAGAGCTTCTTGGCCACGTTGAGTCGCAAGGACATGTCTACTACGATTGAAATCATAGAAGGACGTGGGCCACGGTTGTCAGCGTGCAAAGCTGCTCGTGTGCATCAGCCTTTCATTGGTGGCTTTGATCCCTGTCTTTGGTTGATTCTTGCTTGTGTTCAACTTTGAAACAGGCTGGGGCAGTTCAACTTTCGTTCAAACAGCGCTTGCAAGATTTTGCAAGTAACATTTGCTTGTTCTGTCTTTTCAGAAAAAGTCTTACAACTGACCTGGCCTGTCCTGTGGAGGATGCACAGAGCGCACCAGCCGCCTTGGGCTCAAAAAGGCAATGCAGGTTCGCCAAACTCAAAGGAAGCATATGCAGTCGGCCAAGCATGATGGAACGGAACACATGAAGGCAATGTACACTCGGTCCTTCAAGTTCTTTCTCCTCGAAGAATCACTCCTTCGATGATTGTGAGTAGGAGACCTGGTGTAACTCTGATTCTACTCTACTTTGGATCAATCCAACTTCGGACTCTAGATCTTCAAACCTCAGTTCAATTGGTTAGTCTGGAAAGCTTGGCTAGACCAAGCCTCGCATTCTTCTTGCCAGATCTACGGTGAGATTGACGCATGTCACATGGGCGATCGGGCTGTGATGTCCTTAGAGAGTAGATAGAAAGGAAGAAAGAAAGTTGAAACAGTTCTGAAAGAAGCACAATAATCTCTAAAGGCCTCTCACAAGAGAGCCCTCTCACGGTCTAATCCGCTTTTGAAAGGGACCTTATTTAAGTTTATTTAAGAAGCCCAAGCATATTAAGCAGCCCAATATTCCTTTTTTAATAATCCTTTTTCATTGAGCACTTGTATGTAAGTGCAAGTTGTGATAATCAGTTGCAACGTCCAATCTCGTCAGGTCATGGGTGACAACTTCACAGAATATCCGCTGGTGCGATTCAAATCGCAGTCACTAAGATGCACTTTTACGCACCAATCCGTCCAACCTGTTTTGAAGTATAGAAAAGAATGCTTCTTGTTTTAAGTCCGCTCCTACTTAATTAAGTAGGTAGGCGCCTAGTTACTTGAAAGTAAGGGCGACTAGTTCGCTCCTAGCTACTCAAGCTACACATGGACGCAGGATACTGTAGCTCACGCTTCTTCAAGGACTCTATCCCGCCCCCCTAAGCTTGAAAGAGCGCTTTTCGTATAGATGTTTTGGGAAACTTAACTAGGAGAAGGAGGTGCACTCTGATCAAACCTTGGAACCTGTTCTTCAAATACATCAGCCTTTGACCTTGTAGCCTTTCGTTTTGGCCCGGCAAGTGGCGAAAGAGGCAAACTGGCTCAAGAACCCAAGACTCATACAGCTCACACCAGACGCAAAAGGCCAGAGGAGAGAGACGGATTTGAATAGATAGACGAAGCGGCTTTTTCCGCAACCCAAGTCGGCCAACCCAAGTTATATGTACACACAGTATGTGAATTTTGTTTGAATGATCCAACTCATTTCTGCAAAGTTTGTATGGGAACGGGGAAACAGGTTAAGATCCGATGAAGCGTCAACAAAGGGAGGATCATGGGTTGGATGTTGGGTTCAGGACAACGAGGTGAATGAGGTAGCTGTCCCAGCTTTTAGCGCGCTAAGGACTGCTGCTGAGAATGCTTTGACAGCATTGAAGGCTGGTCAGGCGAGCCAGTCAGTTTGCTCGTGAAGTTCCTACGAGTATAGTGAGCATGTTTTGTGGCTTTGCAGGAAGAGATGGACCTGATAGCATTTTGTCACGTCCGAATGTCTATGACGAGTGTGTTTGTATCAAAGCACTCTGAGGTCTACCTTGATGGCATCCCCTTGAAGGGAGAATGGAGAGGTGGCACCCGTCGACCTAATCGTCGAGGGGAGGAGGTTAAGGCCGGGACTTCGAAACCTGGAAGCAGAAAACCGTCATGCACAGAATGGATCAGAATGGTAGAATGGCAGAATTGTCGAGTGATGGCAGAATGAGATGTGAACCGCGTCCTGTGTCCTGCCGTTGTTACACTTTTCTATGTGGAGTCCTGGCAAGACGCTTGGTGCCAGGAAAGCATGCCACCACCCGCGCCGGTGGATGCAGCAAACTCAGTTCCGCAATGTTCCGCATTCTTCAGTTCGCTGTGTTCGGATTTGGAACGCATGGACTCCTCTAGGCGCCAAACATGAAACCCGGACTTTGTGCGGAATATTTGACCGGCTAGCCATGCAATCTCTGTGAAGCATGTTGGAACGGTGACCTTCAATTCCGCAGGAAACGACGAGTCGTGACCTGAAGCCTGAGAAGCGGGCGCGCAGCGCTTCCCCTCGCCGCCGGAAGCGCTCACGCAGCCGCAGCAGGAGCAGGCAAGGTCTGTGAAGCGAAGAAAGGACGAGACGATCATGGCAATGAACAACAATGAACATGGAGTTGAGATTGGTTGGGAAGTTTCAACCTGTCGGATGCAGTGCAATGTAGGCCCTTGTTCATAAATATCACAGCCAAGTCACTTGGCAGATGGCCCTGTCAACTAATCTGCTTGTGTGTATAATAACTACTACAACACAGCCACATAGATTGAGCAGTAGGAAACCCGTCAACCAAGGACTCGCAAGACGTAAAGCATGTCTTACTTTATGCACCAGACAGTCAAACCTTTCAGATGCTTTCAGGGTTTCTGTCTGAGGCGCAGGCGAAACACCAGCCCACGTAAGGAAAAGGCCGAAAAGACCATGGGCGTCGGGACACCAAAGCCCAATAGACTTGCTTTATTTTGTTTCCATCAACTTAAAACTAAACAGTGCTTTTGGGAGCGATGGCCTCCGACCCAATAGCGATGGCCTCCAACCTTTGAATAGCGATTGCCTCCAACCTAATTTTACTTTGTTTATCTTAGTTGTTTGTTGCTTGTATGACACATCTACTGCACTGTGTGCTGAGTCGCTCTCCATCAATACGCTGGCGGCACTTCTGGGGTCTGCTGCTTGGGAGTGTCACAACGGGCACGCAACAGTAAGCAGTCCGGTGAGGCAGAAAGGACCTCGACAAAGAAACATACAGTGGTCTCAGAGTAGATGGCACAGACCTCAAGATGTCCTTTAGATGGGGTCCATATAAACCACCTCTTGGGGTCTGTGCCATCTACTCTCAATCCACTATATATGTACATAAATGGTATACATATATTATATATATATCATTTATGTATGATATATTATTTATATGACATATATCATTGCTAATAATAATATATAATATATCATTTATAATATATATAATATAGAAGAAATCCCTCGTCTAAAACCATAGCCTGGACTTTGAGTACTGACATGAAGTGAAGGGCTTGAAGTCATGCATGAAGGGATTCAGTCAAAGCACTTTTGGATGTCAATCCTGTGCTAGGAAATTGTAATGTGAACACCTACATCATCGGAAATAGACATGTCGAAAGAGACATATCCGATCGGACTGAGAACTTGCCAAATAACACTTTGGCTCAAGTGTGCCTGAAAAGGATTGAGGCTGCGCTTTCATGGTCGCGATCGATCGACTGTTCGCGATTGTGCTGCCCCTATATTGATAGAATCAGGTATACGATCAGCTTTCAACTGGTTATCAGCCGCATCAAGGGCTACAAGAGACCATTGGTTGAGAAAGAGAAACTTGGCAATAGACATAGCACCGCGTCAAGCTTGACATACTGCATACACACATACCCACAGGGTTGAGAGAGTATACGCTGTTGGACTGATTGCAATCAATTGTTGACTTGTTTTCATTCCATTCGCGCCCGCGGCGCGACCCATGCCTCCGCGCGAGCGCGAGAGATGCAGAAGGAGAAGAGGGC